CATCTTCTACGTGACATTGAGTCCGATATTGGTTGGGCCACGGACTACCGCGTGCGCCAGCTGTTCGAGCAGTGGCAAGGAGAGGAATCAGAGGGTCTGGTACCATGAAGCACTCCACTTGGAGGCTTCAACAGCCACACAAACTTTGCCCCTTAGCAAGCCCGCCGCCAGCCTCCTGCTGTCAGCCTCAGCCATGAGTCTAGGTACTACCGACAGCTTAGTCTAGGTAGCAGAGGTCCCGTACAAGCCACTACTAGCGTGCGCCTGGCCCTTGTCCATGGTGCGGGAACTATCGGAAGACTAGAGGAACACGAACTGTCAGTCCCAAAACCGACACAGGTCGCCCAGACCTCATCGAGCGCAACGCCGATGATCGGATGGTCTGCTGCAATGCGACCGCACGGGCTGCAGCTTCAGATTGTGGAAGAAGCGTGTAAAGAAGGATCAGATAGCAGGAAGATTAGGATTGCAGTATTAGCCCACATCCGACATAGATAACAAGCATACATAGAGATCGAATAGAAGCTTATCGCGCTTTGCAGAATATTTTCCTTGACTACGAATATGCAAACGTGACCTGCTAATTTTCTCAGCCCGACTGCATCATCACAACATGCACCAACAACATGACAACATCACTTCGAACATGAACTCCTTGACCGCTACCGCTTGATGCCGTCTTATCCGAATAGCTTCTCATTACCCCATACCCACTCTGAAACCAAGAGATTCTAGATACTCTACCTATGAATTAAGCCTGAGTTTTCCTTCTGGAAGGGAGACTTCGCGCCTCTAGCAAGCACAACATACACCGGTCGGCGTTTGACCAGCGGACAAGCCAGCTGCACCCCCACTTTTCTTTCTTCGACGCCAGTGCGGATCCGGTTCGCGACCGGATGGCAGTATCCATAGTACGCGCGAGACACATTTGAGTGCCCTGCATATATTGCCTTGCAATCACGGCCCAATCCGCGTGCTGGGATTGGCGATATATGACGCATGCCTAATAATGCGTGGTATACCTTGGAAAGAGTCTGAGACACCCTGGGATGCAGCAGGCGGTTCGTTACTCGGGGACTTTTTCCCCGGCGGTGCAATGTGGCGGTGCTTCGGCGGTTTGAAGATCATTATATCACAATCACCAGATGCGAGTGCAGTTGCGCACGCCATGGAAAGTTGCTGTCACAAGACCTGCGTAAATCGTGAAAGGTATGTGGAAGACTAGCTGATCATCTCGGACGCGAATTTGGTAAGGACGCTCGGCGAATAGAGAAACGTGGTTTAAAGTTTGGTCCTAGAGGAAACGCCTGGGACGGGAAGAAACGAGGTGCGTGCCTCGTAACGAGTCGGGATATCACCATTGGGGTATCCTGGCTCGGTGTCTTGGCGGACGCTTTGTGGAGGATGCTTGGTAGTCTGATGATGCACAATTGCTCCCCTACCTTGAATATGTACGTGTTTGCTGGCGAAAGTGTCGGGAACTGCCCTTCATGACATCATAATCATGCACCTTGAATCCTTCGTATATAGAGTATGGCCGACGAGTACTGTGGATATCCGACAGGGCGTTTACAGCGTATGAACATTATGCATCGTTCTACACCGCAACGCTCCAAGTACGCTAAAAGAAATCGATGTTTGACTTGACCGGATGGTGGCTGCCTCCAAGTCTTGCAATCTTAGAGCTGCAGCGCGAATGCATATGCACATGCAAGCAAGACACCGCTTCCACCTATGCACGATGGCGTAGCCATCAAACGCTGGATAAGCGAGGGATAGGATACAAGGGCTTCTCGAAGATTTCCTGCTGCAGGTTAGTGAGGCTTAACGGCGTCTAGTGTACACTACTGCAGGTTTTCATGCATTTCACTAGTGCGCGGGCAAGCTGATGGTGTAGGGGCCATCGGATTCCCTCTTTGGGTGGCGTTCGTTGCGGCTCCGCGGTTTAGCCGTGTGCTGGGAGATGAGACGCAGGACGCGTAAAGTAGGTGTGAGAAATTGTGGTCTGAGAATGACGTATGGATCTGCTGTGAATAACCTCAGATGTTTGTTTACGGACATCTATATAGCCGAAATAGTCCTCACTACCCTGGACCCATGATATGTCTCAACCGGAATGAGTCTTGCGTAAACTTCGTTCAAGAGTGTGACAGAAGTTTCAATTCGCTAGCGGAGCTCTAGTCCCAGCCAACGGAACAGTAGGTCAGAACACTCATGCGCTATGTTACAGCGCTACTCTAAACTTCATGCGGCAGAACGCACGAGTTAGTTTGCTGCGTGGTAGGTTGGCAACGTGCATGCCTCGTGGTTGGGCTCGAGCTAAGATGTTATCGAAGACATTTAGGCTTTCGCACGTACTCCAGGATACTGAGTATGCTTGCTGCCGATCCACCGCCGAAACCAGCCCCCACGGCATCTCGACTGCCTATACAGGCATTGCCGAAAGTGATGTGTTGTCTCGGTGTCCACGAGCACAGTCTGGAGGAAGTCAGATGCATACGTGAGATCAGAGGCGAACACGCCGAGTTCACGCAGCCCGAGAATACGTGTTGAACGATCATTTACGACACTCTCTGCGTGTCGCCTCCCCTTGCTGCCGCAATAGTGGGCGACACCGTCCGATACGATGGTCATGATGGCCGAACACGCCGTTACCAGCCATTCCTCCACATCCCGCTTGGTGTTGAGAAATACGCTGACGCGCTAAGTGCAAGAGGTGCCGATTTAGCCGACTGCCAATATCTCTTACATCTTCACTTTCAGGCGTCAATCCTATCATTCGCAACGTGTTATCGGCAACCTCGTCACAAATACACAGTCAAAGCGGCGAAGATCGGACTCAGACATGGGTAGGCGATGTCATCGCAAATCGGTGATTTGATAGAGGGGGTGCTGATCTTGGGGTCGCGGGATATTAACTTGGCGGGTCCCTGGATCCCAGTCTACTGGATAGATCTATCCGGCGGAACGATGGAACCGGGGGCCCGTGCACGAGTCACCCAAATTTCTGTCCTCTTGACATGTGCTTGGGGCCGGGGTAGAGGAGCGGATTGTCGCGGGCTTGTGATGTTTCGCCGTTGTTGCGGAATCAACCGTGGCGTAAGTATGCATGACATAAGACCGAACGTTGGGACTGACAATCACCACCTTCATGGGAAATGCAGTCCCTGCCCCGGCGGCTTACAGTGTAGGAAGTAAGCTCGGTGGCAACTAGCGGCGCTCTGTCCCTACGTAGTCGTAGGATAGTCTTGTGTGACGCAAGACTATCTTTTTTGGTGTTGATGAGATAGAGGGGTGTGCCTGTGACGTCACCGTGAAGATTTTTGTACTTCCTCCCTCTCACCTCTCAATATACCGGCTCGAGGTTGTTCTATGACTCCTGCTCTTCACTTGTGGTCCATGGCTGCGAGGCCATTACATCAGTCTCTCATTAGCGTATGATGCGCTACGAGAATGCAGCGTTGGAACAGTTCTGGACGCTGCTAGACATCGACCGTCTCGTACGGCCTTGTCCGTGAGCCTGACTCTTTGGGCGCGCTGTGTTTTGTTATAGTCACGGTTGTGGCGAGTCGTTGCGATTAAGGAAGCAGAGCTTGAGCACCGACGGAGTGGTGGTTGCATGTTGTTGTGTGGCTTTAGCAAGAATGACAACAGCGATATGATGGAGAGCAATAGGTACTTCGTTCTGGATTCATGAAATGCGACAGCGATTCTGAAGTAGAGATCTAGTCCTGGACGTTGACGTAGAGAAGGATCTAAGCCTTGCCCAAATGCTTCTAGCTCCCGACTATATCTGACCCTGAGCCTTACCGCCAAGCCAGACACCGGACGTCACTTCGACGTAGGGGTCCTTCAGATTGAAATAGAAGAGGAACAGGATATACTTCCAGGTTCAGAGCTGAGCGCGCAATAGTGTACGAGGGTAGTTTTGAGCAGGGGCGGCTACTGAAATGGAACGCCCACAGCGTATGTGAATCTTCCCGTCTTTCTTTCCGTACTGTACGGTTTGCAAAGCCCAATGTATACCAGCGAGCCTCAACATACTGTCGTTCTTGCCCGTGTACTACCTAATGGGGCTAGAGGCCGCCCCAAGTACCAAGCATTGATCAACACCGTGCCTTAGATTTAGACCAACACGCACGGGTATCGGCAATCTGGTAGCAAAAAAGAAATCAGAAAACCATACGTTACACACCCAGACGCTCTTGCCCGCTAAGCTGGAACGGCCCTTCCGCCGCAATCAACACTGCTTCTTTGGGCATGTACTGCTCCGCTCACGCATTGATCGGTGAAGAAAATTGTAGTCGCCACGATCCGCGATTCAGGTATAGCGTATCCCGTCCACTGGGGAGCATGTCCAAGGTATACTGTTTCAAAAAAGCTTGGTTTCGACGATTGCAGCTGAAATCATGCATAGTATGTCGACCCCGGATACATCATATTCCTAAACGCGAAATTCGAGGCGAGTGTGATGCAGTCGTCCCATGGAAACAGCAGAGGGCAGATCCACCTCTACTATCTCCTGACCCCGCAATCCATGCTCATCCCACGCATAGCAGTGTCTGCGTTAGAGGAGCTACCTGATGATGGGGAGATGATACCACTTCCCCTCATCTGTTCCATGGGAATGAATGTGGCAGTACCAACATTACTTTCGCAACCTGAACGCACAGACATTGATATCAGCCACCACGTACTGTCAGCCAAGTCGCATAGACAGAAGGAGTTAAACATCGATTATTGTAAATACCATCATGCACGAGGGCTTACGTGGTTGCGGCACGGCGTCGACGCCGACACGTGGAACAACGGCCAGTGTCCGGCGTAGGCTTGCCGCTAGACAGGCTATACACAGAGTACCCACATAGTAGCCCAGCTCCATCGAGGCCACCTCATCTATCCCTACTCAATAGTCCACGTTGATTCTGGAAGCTGTCGTTTCTGAACGTGGCTGCATGCTCAGGCGTGATTCTGACTCGAAGCGTCCTCAGCTACGTCGATCACGCCCCTGCTAGGATCTGCGTCTCTTCTGTAGAAGTTCTGGCTGCAGCATGGCGATCAGGGTCTTGCGGTATGGCAACGCTAGCAGTAGCCGCATTGTAATGGCCCTGCTCCTGAGGCTCATTATCGGGTGACGGGAGCGTGTTCAAATCCTTGACTAAATGCTCCTGTTCCGCGGATGGCTCTTGCCCAGTAGTTTCTATCGCCAGTATTTCCTCTAAGGGCGCAGGCTTCGTTTGAGCAGCCAATCCTGTATCTTTGCGAGGAAAGTCATTTATCTGCATTGAAGCCTCACAAGCATCGCCATGAGCGCCTAAAGGCTGACTTGGGCTTTCCGTGCTTGCCGTCTTGGAACTCTCATGATTAGTCGAGGTCGGCTGTAAGCCTAGCAGATTAGGCAGCAATCCTTGTGTGCCGACTTCAGATGCATCGTGAGCTTTGAAAGAAGTATTCTCCGTTGACCCGGTTTGCGGTGAGCCGTATTCGGAAGAGACAGTCGATTGGGGCTCCACACTATTTGTGCTTGGTCGAGCTGCATTGCCCTGGCATTTTGCCTCACTAGTCACCTGCGTATCCATGTGGGGCTCATCGTGGGGTTTGGCAGCGTCTCGCACTTGATCGGCGCACATCGCCGCTGTGGTTGCTGTTTCTGGAACAGCGCCACTTCTTCGCTCCAGACCGTCGTCTCCAATATTCTCCACTCGACCTAGAATTCCGTCAACTTGATGATGATCGCCATGTGCTCTCGTTGTTGATAAGGCAGAGATTGAGCTATCTGTCATCTCTTCAACACCATCTGGCGCACCGTCAAGCTGTGGTTGTTTCTCTTTTCGTGATGTCTCCCGGCTCCGTCTGCTTTTCAGACTTCTAGTTTGCGCTGGCTCAGCGCTCGAAGCTCCCTTAGCTCTTCGCGCAAGTCTCGCAGCACGAGCGTCTATAGGAGCACGTTCATTCTGGTTCAGCTCATCTATTGCTACGGCATCTTCCGTTTGTGTGATTGCGTGCTCAGCAGCTGCGAGTTTTTTCAATTCCGCCCATGATTTTGCTTTTTCGCTCTGTCCTGCAAGCTCGTCCTCGCTCAGCTCAACCCACTTGGCGCCGACTTTCTTCATACCGGTGAACTTGAGAAACGTCAGGCCGGAACCGCTGGTATCCATGTACTCCGATCCTTCAGGCGGCGCGTTCCTCCCCCGTACGTACGTTTCGCTCGGTCGATGAAACTGCTCACTGCTCCTGTAGTCGTCGTAGAATTGGACTGAATCCGAAAACTTTAGTCGCTTGCGTCCTGTTGATGCTGCTGCGCTGCGTGATCGTTTGGGCGATGGCCGGAGTGAGAGCGGTATACCTTGTCGCTCATGCGGTGCTAAACCGGGCGTGTCTCCAAATCGCTGGGTAGTAGGAGAGTGAGATCGCCGTCGCTTAGTTCCAGGTATCTGCTCTTCATCTTGATTGGTATTATCTCCGTCGTTTGAGTCCTTGTTTTCAAGTTGTGCATCCTGTCCGTCTCTTGGTGATCCGGGCGCCTCAACAGTCATCAACCAGTTGTCAAACTCCATATGAGCTCTCATGTGGTTCTCTCGCGCAAAAGATTTAGTGATGGAATCGCGCTTGTTTTCGAACACAGCCCAATCAGCATCTGCAGCTCGTATCGCATCATAGAGAGAGTCGAATTGTTGACATGTACTGCATCCTGCATGTGGCGTGTCGGGCGATGTTGTCGGTGTGAGTCCCGTTTCAGACACCACAGCCAGGACTCTGGCACATGATTTGCATTTTACAGACTCGTATTTGGCGGCCATCCAATCGGTGTTTGGTTGTGAACGTGGTTGTGTTGACGAGGTGAGGGTGTTCAATCGAAGATGTGTGGACGTGGATCTTGCGAAAGTGATGAGTAATGAGCGCTTGCACAATTATATGCGAATCATGATGTGGAGGGGCACAGATGAGTATGTAGTCGGGTAGTGGGGATGGTCGATACAAGGTGATTGCCAGTGATCAAGAAACAAAGACGCGACTGTGGAGCTGTCGCGACTTCAACAACAGCGCGCCAGCCTTTATCGCTTCTGCAAACAAGTATCGTACCCTATGAGAGCGAAAGTCGAACCAGGAGAGATGGAAGAAAATACATGAATGACAGGGTTGAAAGTAAATGGCTGAGTTGTTTCCCGACAACCATATCGTTGTTGCCACACGCCCTCGCTATCGATGATCCCTGCTCGGCAGTCCCCTTTCTCGCTTCCATAAACAGTAACTACGATGTTTCATTCTTCCACAACCTTCACCGCCCGCTGGTTCCTCGAGAGAACTGTCGCGTCGAGCTGGCGACATCGAAGGCCGGGTCATCCATAAACTGCGGCGATATGCAGTGCGTGAACCGCGAACACCTGAGTTGGAGTCGCGAATGAACGCGTCAGACAAACCCATTCACGCAACGCCGGTGACGTCATCAGGATCATGCGCAATCAAAAAAACGACCCAAACTTCTAATAACGAGGTACTCCTAGTGGGTCAAGTCTAGGAAGTCAGGCTATGAGAACAAAACTGCGTTCTTATCGCGGATGCGTGGAAACATAGTGCATCGTCCTTCGACCAAACGCTGTTAGACGCTGGAGGATTCGATAGTAACTGGATACCTTGAAGAACAAGAACGTTACTTAGGCGCCAGGACAGCTGAACAATGTTCTCGGCGCAATTCGCACTCGAAAAGAACGCCAACAACTCAGACCAGACCAGACGTCCAACCAAAGGCGTCAAACGAAATGCCGCTGGTCTCACCATGATCGATCTTATCGAATCGCATCAGACAGAACGAGAAGCCGCTATTGTGCTTCAGGAAATCCACCAGTCAGTTTCAACAACCTGGAAATATTCCTGAGCTCCCAGTGTAAGTCGTACTGTGTTCTCTCCATATGTCGTGCTTCGTTGGATAATAGGATCGGACGCCTTTAAGATGGATACAATGTCTTCAGCCTTTTCTTCATCTTTTCTTTCCACTTGGCCGATATGCCCTGGTCCTCATCTGGTCCACTTTGGCCCTGAGCAGTCGTCTGATCTGCAACATATGCGCTTGTTTCGGTTGCATTTGTAGAGTCTGACGACTGAGCTGTGGTGGACTGGCTAGCCGACGCTATCAGACTTCCATTACCGCTACTCGATGCAGTGCCCACTGTGAGTTGTTATAAGTGGTGTTCGGTCTCTTTGACAACCTTGGATTTAATGCGACGACCTGAACTTGAGAGGTTGACAAACACAACCGCGCCAGTTGATGTCAAGGAAGATGTTTCAACAGGGACTACTTCTTTCAATGTTCGCATCCGCAAAAATGTTTTGGACACAATGTACTGCGCTGGATCGTGATGCTCTGGCTTTCCGGTTTGTTTACCCTTTAAACACCGGCACGAGTCGAAAGGCCGACATGGCGACACCCAGTCAAACTTGTGCGTTAAACCTCCCCGTTCCAGCCAAGGTTCCCATTGATGTAACTTTTCCTTGTACAGCAATGTAAGAGTTGAAATGCAAGAGGTCAAGTGATTTCTACCCTTAGGAACGGATCGCCATGCCGCGCACATAGTGTCAGCATTACTAGGACGAATGAGGTCTCCGAAGCCCTTCCCAAAGACCGTGAGCACACCTATAGTAGGTAATAGATCGACCCAGCCGTTCTCTCCCGAACTGAATCGCTCAACACGAGAAACAAACTGGGGACGAGATTTGACAATATCGAGGATGTCGAAACCCACAATGCTTTTCCGGGTGTCCAAACTTCGAGTAACCCTGGTACCTCCTTCTGTAGCTACACGAGTTCGGGCTTCGATAATAAGCTCAAGGTATGGAGTATCTTGTCCACCCTGTTTCCAAAGGTTGAGTACGTGTCGACTGGCTGGCCATTTCCGAAGGAACGGTCTCTTATGTAGACACGCAACGCGCGGTTCTCCCAATCTCTTAGTGAGCGTATTGCTGCAGCGCGCCCGCCCTGATCGATCCAGTTTTCTTTCAGCTGGCTTTTGTCAAAGACCCAATCATACGTGCTGTCAGGGTTAGTCTCATCCAATTGCAGAGAAATTCGGACAAGGTGGAGTAGTGCCGAAGCACCATCTACTAGCCAAGCTCTGCGGTCTGTCACGTCGTAAAAGTTGACAAACTGCTCATTTAACCAACCGAGCACTTGGGAAAAATCGCGGGCCTCTCCAGACATTATTGGCTGCTCTCTCTGGTTGATACGTGCATTTAAGCCGCCTATCACATACATGCCTCCTTCAATGTATAGACGGTCGATGACAGTGTACGAAGGGGACGGCAATGTTCCAGATGGGGAGATATTGAGATCAGCCTGAGGATGACCTGGTATCATGGTTAGAAACAAGCTGTCGTATCTGTGCTACTCCTGGGTCTCGACTTACTGCAAAAGTCTTCCGCTTCAGAGCACCATCCAATGATATGATGACGGTTTCCCAGTGAGCGGAGCAAAGGCAGATCTCTTTCGTTTGATGTCGTTTTCTCTATCCGAGGGTCAAAGTAAGATATACGCTTGCCTGGTTTGCTGCTAGTATAAGCATGCCACATAATGATATCACCATCCATAACAAACTCAGTAGCAACTAGCAATGTGTTGAAGCCTTTCATGATGACTCTGTTTTCCAGATGAACCACTTGTTGGGCTTGTAAGAGGCTAGTCATAATGCCTAATGATGCCTCAAGACCTGCAGCTGGCGTTGACTTTCGTAGTATAGGATAGCCGCTAACTATGACAGGGTTCGTAAATAGCTTGGTCCAACAAGTACCTTTGACTAAACTGAACTGCTTCTTGTCATCCTGGATGTCGAAATTGAGGTGACCCGATATCCAGATTTCATTGGAATCTTGGTTGGTCGATGCTTCCACCGATGAGATGTGAATACGCGGCGACACTATAACTAGCGTTTCGGGAGGTGGTGTTAAGCTCAAGGTTGCCGCTAGCCATGCGATCTGCTCCACAAATTCTGGCATTGTGTATGGGTTCCCATGAATCTTTATAAAGCAAGTATTGACGGACAAAACATCGAGTCCTACACGAAGTGTAGGCGAAAGAACATCTAAGATTTTATAAGTGCGAGAAGTATAGAGATTATTGGGGAACATACATGAACATGCCTGACCATCCTGGCAATTTAAGAACTCCAACAGCATACCTTCCAGCCGTTCACCAGTAGTTGGCCATGTTTGGCGGAGATATGTAGCCACGGTTACAGACTGCAGGTCATTGCTTGAGCCGGTCAGACACAACATGTGGTTCCACATGTCTAGAGAAGGTGATACTCCCAGTGACTCAACGTACTTCGCCAGCTTCCAATATACACTCAAACACAAACGAACGGTTGATGCTGAGTTTTGGGTACGCATCTTCCAGACAACTGTGCGAAGTATGTCCGATCCAATTTGGTCCTTGATGTTCGGACCTGGATAGTAGACTTGAGTTCCGAGCTCAAGCTTCGAGAGGAGCCAACGGTAGGCATCTGACTTGAAGATCCATTCTTCGCATCCATCCAGTTGCGATGTGTAGACTCTTTGAGATGGGGAGATCGGAGCTTCCCGTTCCGGTCCAAGTGGCGAGCGTCCAGTGGCATCTGTTCGATCGCTAAAGTCTTCTTCTTCAAGAGGCTCACCTCCGTATATAAAGCTGAAGATTGTGCTACGGAACGGGTCTCAGCTTATGAACCCCTGATGAGCAGATAAAAGCAGCAGGGTAATCGGCTATGTATTTTGTGTGCACTTACCTGCTTTCCTCAAAGAGACATACTGATGCTTTCCATTCGAGTGGTGTTGTGGATTCTTCATGCAATCTCCACGCGAAGACCTCCAGCCAGGTGCCAATTTCAAGAGGCGGAATTTGGCTTATGGGTTCAAGATCAGCAAACGCTTTTGTGTCTTTGATCAGTCGTTGGGCAACAGCTTTGACGAGTCTCAGTCCAATCGTAAACGTGGAATAGGGCGTCAGAATTTCGTCCAACGATAGCGCAGATTTCGGCAAGGAACGCGTACGTTCACCTTTCAGATTTGGATGGAGATGAGAGTTATCGGCCTTGGTCGTATGAATATTCCGGGTTGGAAACGTCTTTTTCGAACGAGGTCGCTGCTTCAGAATACTGAAATCATTTAAAGAGTCGATGGTTTCGCCGCCCGGGGGTTGTGACGATGTATCGTTTCTGAAAGGCTCCTTTCCGGCGTATGGGAGGGAGTTCAGCCTTGACAAGAACCCGCCAGCTGAAGAGTGGGAGATCATGGGTTCTTTCCAATTTGTCACTCGCTGTTCTTGCTCTCCTAGCAGTCTTTCAAGTACGAGAGTTTGCTCAGAGGCGCCTTCACGAAGAGGGACGTAGATAGGAACGGTATACGAATTAGAAGCTTGCTGCACTAGTAAGGCATGGAGTTCAGCAATATCAATGCTACCATACTTCGTGATCATGTCTCTCATTGTCGTGGTTACCGCATTCGTAAAAGAGCCGCCTTCTGGTTGTCCGGTCTTAGCTGTATTGCTTGTGGCTGCAAGTAACTCAATTCGGCCGTAGAGACCATCGTGAGGATCTCTCGAACGTATTGCAGCATCTATTATCAAATGCGAACAATCTAAGATGACAAGAATATCAAAGATGGCTTCGCTGAACATTCTTTGTATCCTGGACCATTGGAGGTATGGTCCACCTTCGCGGGGACTGTATGTGGTGAGACAGAGGACATATCTACTCGTTTCAGCTTACTTACGACCGCCAGATCTTCCATATATGCTGCATAGTCTCACGCCCAGTGTAGTCTCCACCATATTTGTCCGCATACCCAAGATGATAGATGATAAACAGGCAAGGTGCACCAAGAGCACGCTTCTTTCGTGTGAAGTAATCGTGCTCATCCTGCACAAGTTCGAATACTTTGTGAGGATAATCGGTAGAGATGTGATAGGACTGCGTCTCAAACCTCAGGCTCTTGAAGAGCTTTTTCAACTTCCGAATCTCCAAATGATGATCTCCAAATCTGTCCAAATCTTCCCGGAACAGTAGCACTGCTTTGACATAGGCGTATTGTGGTTGCGATACAAGATTGTCCATCTCTGTTTCGATGTAATCCTCAGTATTGTAGTTTTTAGAGAAATAGTCGTTAAGAGGTCACGTATGACTAAGACCGTGAGTGCCCACACTGGGACGGGTCAAGGCGACTGGGAAGGGTAGGGCTGAGCGACGATAGCCATTAAGGACTATCGAACTGGTAGTTTCCGCCGATGACTGCAACTATCAGATCATACTGCTACAAAGGCTAGACAAGCGTCCTCTTATGCGAAATACATACTGGGGATGAATGCACCGTGCAATGTCCCAACAAACCCTTCAAAACAGCACGTTCAAGCTAAGGCTGAATAGACACAAAACCCTTTCATTCGTTGCTTCTGGGGAGGACAAGGCTTCTCCATGGGCTAATCAGTCGTGTATGCTCTTAATTGGGTCATCGAGGAGTCTGACGTACATGTTGCATATATGTGGCTGCATGGGACGAGAATGCCTTGCGGATAATGGAAGATCGACGGCACAAGGCTGAAAGTATTCGGCAATTTCGCCCCGGTTATCATGCAGTTAAGAAATTGTTAATGTCACACTTTCTTGGCAAGAGCATGATGAGCCGGAGCGCTCATGATACACATGTGGCGCAATCGTAGGAAGCCTAGCCACTCGATGCCATACCAGGGATGGTAGCGCAGAAGCTTGAGCGTCCTCGACAATGCCACAGCCTCCACAGGTGTCCTGATCGAACGCCTTTGTTGCCGTTGATCTGTGCGATAGATTTTCTCACAAATGCCTTGGAACCAGGCTGTAGATATCTAAGCCGCAACCCTGGATCTTCGTAGGCCCATATCTCAAATTTATCAGACGCACAATTACATGTTGGCTCACTGTAGCCGTGTTGCTCTCGCTGGTCATGGTACTTCGTGGATCCAAAATGAAAAGCAAAGAGATGTTACCATCAATTTGAACGACTCTAAACGTGAGCGGCATGTGTGGAAGCAGTGAAACTGTATATCACGGATCTGACGAAAAGCAGCTGATGGTGGGATTAATTTATACTTTCACTCCTCGATCACGATCTCTTTATCTTCAAGTTTTGCCGGTCCAGTCTTGTCCATACGTCTCCATAGACCCAGGAAGCCACCTCCGACAACTTGGTGGCCGACCTTTGGTCTACACACCATGACCCATTTGTCATCTTCTTTGGTCAACTCTTCTGCCAGCTCAGTATCGCGTGCTGCTTGGCCTGACTCTGAATCCGTGGTTTCGTCAGTCGAGGGTTCGGAGGGTTGCTTTGTGTGAGCATCCTGTTTGGGTGCTCTCGGTTTGACGGCGCGAACATCCCACTCGCGAATTGTGCCTGCGCCAAGCTCAATGACTTGATCAAGCAGATATGGCAGTCTTTGTTCGCGGATGGTTTGGACACATTCGGCTATCTGGGTGACGCTTGGGTTGAAGACAGCGAGCAAGCCATTGGCGTGCAAGGTGGGAGCGACGTTGGCAAGGTGGCTAGTCGCGTTGGGGAGGTCTAAGAAGACATGGCTTAAGAAGGGCTCTTCTGTCTTCCTTGAGGCTCTTTGTTTGGCTATCCACTCGGATACGTCGCCCACGTGGAAGTCGACGTTACCCGCGTACATGCCATGTCGGAAGCCTTCCACAATCTTCTTTGCGTGTTTGGAATGCTTGCTAGATATGTCCAGCGTGTGTACGATGGCGCGACGAGCCTGTTTCCATGATTCGAGCCCTGACTCTTGTAGGTCTGACAGAGACTCGCCGAGGTATACTGCGTCTTCGGGTTCTTCCTCAGTTGATACATATGAAGGTGTCCTCGGAATCGGCGGATTGGCGGCGTGTATGGCGCGAGAGAGGTGCAGTGTCAGGGCGCCGTGGCCTGTGCCAGCTTCGAGTATCTCGAATGGTGGTTCGGTGCTTGGGCTAGTGGAGGGAGTATCAACGTGAATGTCGAGCAGGGACACAATGAGGTTCGTATCCGAAGGGTAGATCTAGTCGATGTTAGTATATGTAGACGGTGCGAGGAGGCTATAAGAATACGCACTGGAGTAACAAGACGTGGTGTCAGTCTAACGTACTCGGCCAGTGTAGGGTCGTGGATGCGGAAGGAGGCGCCCTTGTGGGAGTGGACAATCTGGCGCGGCTCTTTCCCAATTACATCTTCATGCTTGATGACGCCTCTATGTGTACCCGTCGACTTGGGCGCCTGCAGCTTCACGAGGCGGCCATCCTGAGTCTCTTTGGCCTCGCGCAAGAGCACAACATCGCCATCTATGCGATTGTGAGCCGAGTCGGAGTGGTGGAAGCAGAGGTCTTGCCTTGGAATGCGCGGTACAGGCAGGAGCTACTCGTAAAGTGTCGCGCACGCGGGTGTAGTGCAGCACGTCGTAGCTGGTGGAGGGAGGAAGATCGCATGGCTTTGTCAGAGCAAAGATGTGCAGATGCGGAGGTGACGCCTTCTCCGCACCGTGAAGCGAGCCGCGACTACGGCAGGCACTGAGTGCCGGCGTCTCCAGACAGGTATCTGGTCAGCCCTGCACAGAAGGTGGAACTCCAAGGCTGTGTTTATACCTTCTAGTTCTCTTCGAGCCAACCAAGACTCCACTATCGGCAGTTATGAAGCGCAGAAGAACGCGTTGTGACTCTGATCCCTGCATCGCCATTGACGATCTGAGAGTCCAGGGTTCGGCCTAGCCAAGAACACCATGGAGCACCACCTGCACACTTCCAAGACACATGTGCGCCGCTCAACACGCTTGACCTCACCTCTCCAGCAAACGCCTCCATGTCATGGACTTGAGCTCGCGCTGCTGTGAAACACACACTTGCTGAACTCGACCCTGCCTCTATGCGCCACTACTCACACCCCCGAGACCCTCCACCATGACGCGCCGCATAGTGAGTACAGAGACGGCGTCTTCCTAGTCTGCACTAACCACCACAGGTACGGACGGGCATACAGCTCATCGCCCTTACCATCGTCGTCACCGTCACCGTATTCTTCCTCGATAATCGCTACCGCGTCCTCCCTCAATCTGTCCACAGTCACATGCCACTGCACCACGACGGCCTCATTATCACCGATATCACCGTGCAGACATGTTCGACAATCAACCCACTCTCCAAATGTATGCTCGACCAGAAGAAGTGGCATCGCATTGAGAAGGACTTGCACCTCGGTTCGGGATGGGTTACCAAGTCATACGTCCACATCAAGCGCAAGCGGGAAGAGGAGCTCAAGACTGAAGACAAGGTCATCATCGACGTTCGCACAGGCAAGCTTGACCCCTCTGTAGGCGAGAAGGCCCAGGCGTCGGAGAAATGGGAGTCACGGCCAGCTGGCATCTGGATCAAGCGCTCGCTGAAGCGTCACGCGAGCGACTCCAAGAAGGCAGTAACGGCCGTTGACATTCTGTTTGGCGCTGATGCAGTAGAGCCACGTCCTGGCTGGGAATTGGTCAAGAACGGAGCCCTGCATCTCGAGACGGGCAAAGCGAGCACAGATCCTCGCCTCAGCATACGAAGAGGCCCGGCAGCCAAGGTGGAGAAGCCTGTGCCCAAGATTAGGAAGGATGGCAAATTCAAGATTATGCAGATATCCGACCTGCATCTCAGCACTGGCCTGGGCCACTGCAGAGACCCGGAGCCCAAAGGCCACAACGGCGGACACTGCGATGCCGACCCTAGGACCATAGAGTTTGTTGAGAGAGTTCTCGATGATGAAAAGCCAGACTTTGTCGTCTTGTCCGGCGACCAGGTCAATGGCGACACAGCACCCGATGTCCAAAGTGTAGGGTGCCTCCTATTCCAAGAGTGACACGATAGCTAACCACTTCCAGGCCTTGTTCAAGATAGTCGACCCACTCGCAGAGCGCAAGATACCATACGCAGCCATCTTTGGCAACCACGACGACGAAGGCACTCTCTCCCGCCACGCGCAAATGGATCTCTACGACTCCCTACCTTACTCCGTTAGCGAGCCCGGTCCCAACACGATAGATGGCGTCGGAAACTACTTTGTAGAGATCCAAGCCCACAGCAGCAAACACTCAGCCCTAACCCTATACTTCCTCGATACACACTCTTACTCGCCGGACGAGACCCACTACCGTGGCTACGACTGGCTCAAGCCAAATCAAATCGACTGGTTCAAGACCACCGCTCAAGGCTTGAAGGAAGCGCACAGCCACTACACCCATAAGCATCTCAACATGGCTTTCATCCATATCCCACTTCCAGAATATGGCAACGTCGAAAACGAACGTGTTGGAAACTGGACTGAGCCCATCACTGCCCCGGCTTTCAACACCCACTTCAAAGACGCCCTGGTTGAATACGACATCAGTGCCGTCTCATGTGGCCACGATCACGTCAACGACTACTGCTCGCTTTCCAAAGAACCTGAGACTGGCGATCCGGAACTGTGGATGTGCTACGCCGGTGGCAGTGGTTTTGGAGGCTATGGTGGCTACAACAATTACCACCGCCGATTACGCGTCTTCGAAATCGATACAAATCAAGCACGCATTGTGACGTGGAAGCGGTTGGAATATGGTGACACTGGGAAGAAACTTGATACGCAGATCATTGTGGATTCGGGAAGGGTCATAGGGAGACAAAGCGCCAACGATGCGTGAGACGCGCGAGTGATTTGTAGAAACGATCGCATGTCAAGGCGTTTAGGATTATTGTTATGGGCGTTCGGAAAATCACTGCTCTTGGAGATGTTGTTGGAGTTCATCCCTAAGGTGGGCTACAAGATGAGGAATAGCAGATTTGAATCAACAAACGCAAATTCGAGTAAATCTCATCTGGAATTGGCAGGAACGTGCACAAAATTATTGACGTGACTTGAAACTCTCTACAAACGCAGCTAGTGCTCATCCCAGCTGCTCCGGGGTGATAAGCACCAAAAAGCAATAGCCAAGCTTTTCTTACGCTGACGATAGACGCGCCTTAGTCGTGACAGGAGACCTAATGTAAGGTTCCAATGTTTGGGCATCATGATTCGGCACCAGTCATATATAACAACGCTATATCCGTAGGAGATAAGCTGAGTAACACAAGAAGCAGTCAGCAAATAGCGTTGAATGCATACACGCCCTGCTGCAACAAGTGACAGGGAAGTTATAGAATGGCATGGGCCCAAGATGACATATTAATCTGGGTCTTTACTACACCATTTCTTAGAATTCTACACCACAGTCGTCAAGATGCCTTTTCTCGCCCAAAAATGTCTACCCATCCCTACAAAAGACATCCTGTCGTGGATGTATGACAACCCACTTTTCGATCAAGATAGACCTGTACGCTCTCCAAGTACCCTCGCGTTGTATTGTTCCCACCATACTAATACGCGGCTTCAGATATATATCGACGCCAGCAATCCAACACACCACATTACCGCTGCACAGGCCCATGTTCTCATTCGTCAACTTATCGCCGGATTCAAACATGCGGGTATACAGACGGGCGATGTCGTACTAGTGCATGCCTTCAACTCGATTTACTACCCCATCATCGTCTTAGGTATCATAGGTGCAGGCGCAATCTACACAGGCACAAACCCAGGTTATACGAGATGGGAAATAGAACACGCGCTGAAGAGCAGCGCAGCAAAGATGGTGATTTGCGATACAGAAGTGCTGGAAAATGGGATGAGTGTAGCCGCAGAAGAATGTAGTCTACCTAGAGAACAGATCTTGATGTTAGACGATACTACCTTTCATCCTCCACCACAACAAGCGGCAGACGACAAAACATCTTGGCGTTCACTGCTTATGCATGGCGAAGCAGATTGGCAGCGCTTCGACGAACTGGAGACGAGTCGGCGTACGATCGCCGGTCTGTTCTTCTCCAGCGGGACGACAGGGCTGCCCAAGTTGGCGAAACTGTCGCATTACAACCTCATCGCGCAACATACACTAGTCTTCCAGGCGAATCCGCGGCCATATCTTCTCAAACGTCTCATTGCGCTGCCAATGTTCCATGCTGCTACTGCGCCGTCGACGCACTTCTCCCCTCTTCGCGCGGGACAACAACAGATTGTCATGCGGCGGTACGAACCTAGATCATTCCTTGAGATGGCGGAGAAGCATGCAATCACAGATCTAACGCTCGTACCCCCGCAGGTAACCAGTATGCTAGCAGTCCCGTTGACCAAAGCAGAAAAAAGGAGGATGTTGGCAAGTGTGCGTTGGGCGGTTGGCGGAGCCGCGCATCTCGACGCTACCACACAGAAACACTTCCAAGACCTACTTCCACCGGGATCACCATTTACACAGATCTGGGGAATGACGGAGGTGAGCTGTTTCGGGTCCATCTTTCCCTGGCCTGAAATAGATGACACAGCCAGTGTGGGAAAGTTTCTGTCGAACCTGGATGTGAAGCTGCTGGATGATGACGGAAAGGATATCACGAACTTCGATGTGAGGGGTGAGCTGGCGGTGAGAGGACCAACTATCACGAGTGGATATGTTGGCGTGGCGCGAGAGCGAGACTTTGATAGCGAAGGCTACTTCAGGACAGGAGATGTGCTGTATTGTGATAGAAGAACTAGACTGTGGTACATTGTTGATCGAAAGAAGGAGCTCATCAAGGTCCGCGGCTTTCAGGTCGCGCCGGCGGAGCTAGAGGGAGTGATTTTGGAATGTCCAGGAGTGGCAGATGTCGCTGTCATTGGAGTCAACGGAGGTGTCGGTAACGAGGAGGTACCTAGAGCATATGTCGTCAAAGGGAAAGATGAAGTGTTGACGGAGCAACAAGTCAAGAGCTGGGTCGAGGCAAAGCTGGCAAAGTACAAAAGGCTCAATGGCGGCGTGGTTTTCGTGCCGGCTATACCGAAAAGTCCGAGCGGTAAGATCTTGAAGCGTGTACTGAAGGAAGAGATGACGGAACTAGCGACACGTGCGAAATTATGAATTATATTCTTTCCTATCAGAAGGGCTCCGTTTGCCAGAAGTCCAAATTGGTAGGAGCGACTTGACCCAGGAATGTCTCGTCGAAACCGAAGCCGTATGATCCAATCAGATCGTACATGTTGTATTCGTTTGTCGCATCGACGCTTTCGTCATTGCTCGCTGTAGCGGCCTTGACGGGATCAAAAATGTGCGTAGCAGCTGGCGATGCGGCTGGAAAGCCGCCTTGTGTGACTGAGCCAGAAGGCGTCCCAGCAACATCGAGTCGTTTCAGCAGATCGTTGATTCCTTGAACGATGTGTGTGGTAATATGTTTCTCGTTCAGGTTTTCTGCCACCTTGGCTAGGAAGGAAGACGATCGTCGCGACAGCGAGAGCACTTGGTTGATGTTGAAATTGAGGCCTAGTCCAACGGGCTCCGTCGCCCACTCTGGCGACTGTACTTGCGCCATACCTCCCCAGGTTTTCGCCATCTTCAGCAAAAATGTAGCGCAGAATGCGACCATAGTGTGCGTGAAGATTGGGACTGCAGTCATTGCTTTGCGAAGATCTGGCTCTTCGAAGATGAGGGTAAGTGTACTTGTGGCGGCGGTGATGGCGATGTTAGCTGCTTCGCGACGGTCGTAAGAGAGCGACTCGGACGTTGCAGCGCTGGGTGGAGGCAGAGCACGTAGCGCCAGAGAGTTGAGCTGAAACCTAGCGAAGTGATAGTATAGCACTACACCCTTTGATGGATATGATCCGATAGATGGGCTATCAGCGGATCTAGCCTGCCATGCAAGTCGCCACTGCTCGATTGCAAAGTTGAAGAGGCGAAGTTGCTGGAAATCAGGCTCCGTAAGTGGTTGTTCTGGATCGCTGCCATAAGCGATGTATGCTTCTGTCAATATCTTGAATAGAGTAACCTGAGCTCCCAATCTGATGTCGCCTGGCGTCGTCTTTGGACTGTCGAGGAATTGTTCGATGTTCTTGATCGCGATGTCTTCGTGAACGATAGACGGGCGTCCATATGCGATGCTGAACTGTTTGTCGCATACATATAAAGCATACCATAGGCGGACATTATCGCGCTGCTCTTCGTGCCCTCGCATCAGCCTCTGGTAAGACATGTGCAAGTTCATCTCCACGGCATTCCTCACAGCAAGTCCTGCTAATTTCCAGCTCAGGTTGGAGAGATAGAAGGCAGCAAGAGTTAACGCACGGATGTCATCGAGGTTCTGAGGCCGAGCAAGAAAGGTGCTGTAGACTAACGATACAAAGATGTTGTAGCATTTTTGCAACGCTTCGTCTCGACCAGGCGTATGCAATGCTGAGATGGTAAGCACAGCCGCAGTGAGAAGCGTGGACTGACGGCGAGCTGCTTCCAACGAGTCATATGGGAAGAGTACACCAGCCCAAAGGTAAAGACGTATGTCTTGCATATACCGTCGGAAGAGATCTTCAGCTTCCGCTAAAGGTATGATACCTTGAGCTATGAAGTCCTCCTCAACAGAGTTGGAATTCGGCTTCCACCGAACGCTGCTCCGAAGATTCCGAATCCGCGTAAGGTCGTATAGACTCCTCATAGGCGCTGTTACCAAGCCGGATTCTTCGCCCGACTCACGCTCGACAGAAGTGTCTCTCGTCATATCCATAGGTGGTGGGACGACGAACGTAGAGTGCCCATTTTCAGACATCATGTTTGTCGGGCTGATGGTCATACTATGCGTGCGTCCTGAAGGCAGTTGAGGCGAGCCCTGACTGACTGGACTATCCAAGCTCGGAAGTTTATTGTGCTGAAGAAGACGCTGCACCGCCGAGCGCAGCTGCCCCAATTCGGCTGTCGCATTGGATTTCCAACTGGTTTACTTAGCGACGGCGCTGAAGACACGTATTCAGAGCACTTACGCAGCATCTTCGTCTAGTAGTCGTTGATTCAGATTGTATGGGACGCATTCAGTTCCGCTCCGCAGGCACTTTGCGCACTTTGCTTCATTGTCGACAGGTTCACACTTAATCTTGTGCCGTTTGCACTCCGCACCTATACAGCATGGGCAAGGAGTCGCGATAGAGTGGGGCGCGTTGACTTACAGGCTCTAATTCTCGGCGTGCGCGGTGCAGGTCGGCGTCCATCTTCATGATCCGCATCCTCACTTGGACGCTTCAGTGGAGACATATCCAAGATTCCATGCCATCGGACCTGCAAAGGATGAAACCGTCAGAGATCTTCGCGACACGACATTCAGGCTGAAGACACCGTGCTCGCGTTCGCGCTCGTGACATGATGAGATTGTGAGGAGGCTAGCCAGCCATCGCGGGATATCAGCGCTTAACCCAAATCAGCGGCAAAGTGGGGTGGTTCATGCACATCAAGCCGTTCATGAGCTAAGGTGCCACACCAACATCCTGTTTACCCGTCAAGGGTCTTGCTCTGCTAGCTGGAGAGCTCAAGGCAAAATTGCGGAAAATCTCCACGCTGCGATGGACAACACGGTTTTGTCACTGAGATGCGCACGCAATCTCATACAGCGCAGCTTTCGGAAATAACCACCAGCCGCGAAAATCCAGCTCCAGACCGAGGTTTGCTGTTTCTTTTCTATTGGTCAGACAAGCAGCGGTCAAGCTGTGGTCATTGGCATAGACTATCCTGCCGTACAAATCTAGATTTGATTGCTTACGATCGCATTAGGGGGGCACTACAAGCAGGGCTTTCGAAGACGACTTGCAAAATCTATCATTAAGGGAACAGCCCTTAGGTTGCTTCACGAGGTCATTCACAACCGTCCAGTCTGCACGAATCATGCAAGACTATTCCTATTAGTACGCAGTCTACAACCCATGCCAGCACTACCTTAACATTCAGCAATCACCTTTTTCCGAATTCTCCTTGGCAACCGTTGTCACAAGTGGGGTCATTCTCGCCGTTTTCACTAAAACAAATTTGTCTTTCTTCCTCTTTGCCCTCATAGACCTCGAGCGTAGAACAGGTGACGAGATGATGCTCTGTAAGAACTTCACTTTGGACTTTCTTGAGATGATATAGGCGTCTTCAACGTACCGAAAGCACACTATTAAATCCAGTCATGTTCTATGACAGCCGCGACTCTAGGATGACGAAGACCTCCACAACAGTTTTCATGCTGTGACGGTACTTCCTGAACGATCCTCCGAACACAAATTGGCCAACGATATCATCTCTACATGATGGAATGCCCACACTCACATCGACTCTGGAAGTCCTCCGTTACCAAGCAGTGCGTCTTTCGCCATATCTCTGTCTCGTTTGAACACAAGTTAAACGAGTCCCAGAACTGCAGGGATAGTGCTCGTAGCTTCTGACGCCCAGGTGCTCAAGGAGCCCAGAACATAGAGGAAAAAGAATTGTTGAAAGGATGACAGGATTTTGCGTGAACAGTTTCACGCTGTCTGTCCATTCCTCAGAATGGCTATGGCAGAGGCGGAAGGTCATTGCACTTAGTTGGCGAGCGGCCTAGAAGTATTCATGCTTACACCGCAAGAAGAGGAAGGAGTTCTATAGGGCATGGCGATGTTGCTTGTGCACTCGAGAGCAATGCGCAGATGTTTGAGTACATTGAGGAAGACGTTGAAATGCATTGACGCTCAGTTATCAAAAGCCAACGCAGAAATAGAATTAGGGTGATGATACCTCAAGGAGAACTCTTCTATGCAAGTACGATGTGCCTTAGACAATCAGTTCGCCAACGAATTATCGCCCCGATGAGAGTGTTGCAAAGTAACTAGAGCATGACTAGTCCATTAAGTACAAGAAGAATTAGGTTTTATCTTCCTATCTAGGCAATACCGCGTTGACATCACTACTTCCATCGACCAAGCCGAGAAACACACTGGCATTGATATCCCAGCGGCTTCCGCTGTTTCTACAAGCATTGTACACATGTCGATTTTGAAGGCAGCCCAGTGAAAGTAAGAAGTAAAGTCTGTTCATCCGCAGAAGACGCATGCCCCTTCAAATGAAGGTATCGCAATAATGCATGAGATGTCGGCCGCGACATCTGCCATGAGAATCAGCACAAGGTTCATTTTGTAAAATATCGAACTTACCCGCGAATTCCGTACCAAAAGCAACAGCACACGGTACAACAACAGCGGCAAAAGCGCCAATACATCCTAGATGTCCATTAGTATCATGTCAGTATGCGAACCAGCATCTTGAAATACTTACCTGCGATATTACATCCGGCGGCCTCCTTCCTTCTTAGCTCAATCAAGTCTTCCAGACATTGTGCTTGCAACCCTATATCTACGTCCACACAGCTGTACTGTCTCTGCCTTGCCACCAAGCGTTTAGAGTCGAGACTGATGTTGATGTCGGAATTTAGAGCCGAAGGCGCGGCGAATGACATGGAAGACAAGGCCAGAAGGCCAATAGTACTGAGGCTAAGACGCATAATGTGGAATGACTCAAATGGACGGAATGTATTGCCTGAGAAGTCGGATACAGCTGGATGATTTGAAAGAGAATGTTAAATATGTGCAGTAAACAATGGTAGGTGGGGAAGACACCAGTTATATAAGTATCGATCACACTAGCGCATGATGCAAATACTCTCTTTCCAAGGCTTTGAAGTGAGTATACATCGGCCAAATTCTAGACACCGCCCCAGCAATTAGAACAACATCAGCTTGGGCTGACGGAAATAGAAGTCCAGACACCGGCCCGAGCACTTATACACCGCTACTGAAAACACTGTGTTCCTCTAAAGAAACACTATATCGGGCCTACTGAACGAAGCATACGAAAGATTCAATAACGATATCCAGAACTAGAGCTAGAAGTAGAAGTGACTTTGAGGGATAGACAATGGCAATGGATAGTGCGGCATCGAGAATCGCTACCGAATCGTACAATGTATCATTTTATTGACACCCATTGAGACTGAGAAGCCTGTGGCGTTAAGAGAGGCATTGGACCTAATTGCTCTGCCGAACAAGGTCCACATATGACTCGGTTGTCTTCTACGCTCCAAGCACAATGAGAATAGTACTTGGAATAAGATGGAAAAATGCCCCAGTGCATATGCCACTTAACGAGTCAGTTCAATTCAAGAGAATGCATAATCAGGTTTCGTTAACTGAACTTGGCGATTTGTTGTTCCATATCAGTGAGAACGAAACTTGGCGCTGTTGTTGAGTTCTTGACAAGTAGATGGGGCTAACCACTTCTGGTGAATATCGTCATTGCGCCTGTGTGTTTAGAAGTAGTGATTGTACGTAATTTAAGAATGCTGCCCAAAGCAGTAGAGAGTATCGGTAGTAGGCGATTGCGCGACACGTTTTAGGACACGATGTGCGGAGTCAACCTCTCCTTGTTCACTTGGCGTAGTGATTACTTACCCGGGTAGGGATGACGAAGGTACCCGGGCAGCTGCCCCACCTTACCACCGCCTTATATTCCAACAAAAACATCGACTACGCGCGTAGACTAACGACCACCGCTGTGATACCGCTTACATTTGTTCCGAGGAATCCGATGGACGTTCCGCCGCATGGAGTTGATTGATGTCGCCGCAATGTTGACGAGATAAGATATAGGGCCATGGAAACGGGAAGAGCACAAAGAGCGATACCAACTCCAGGGAAAAGATCGGATAGCAGCGCTCATGTGTCTCTTGTTTGAGGTTCAGGAAGAATTGATGTGGCCCTAGATACCAAATTCTCCTGCGAGGTGATTGGCAAGCTGCAATGCGAAATCGCTCCGTAGACGACTCACGAAAAGCACTATCAGAATATACAAGAGACATAAGCACGGATGCATGCCTATAGAAACGGGCCTATCAATGTACTATCGATGCCGGTATTCCGGCATGGCGACGGCAGCTTGAACATTGCACTAGCCAGTCTTTAGGAGGATTATAGACCGTCAGCGGCAGGAGTGAAGATGTACGAAAGTAGACATATAAATGTACATATAGAGCCCCATTTGAACATGCATTAGCTACCCATCAGGACTCCTCTCCAAGTCTACATCTTTCACATACTTATCACACTACCCCCTACTTATAGGACAACTACCATGAGATTCTCAATCTTCGTCGCAGGTATCATTGCTAGGTACGTGGCTTCCACGCCCGATAATGACTGACGCTATCAGCAGATGGCTAACGAATTGACCAGCGCGTCTTCTGTCGCCGGCCAGATCGAGCTACCAGGAGAGCAGAGGATATGTGAGTGTCGCATCACGGCTTCTGGATCAAGCCCATCGGTCATCTTTTCCGGTATTCCATGTGCTGCGGTGGGCGGAAGGGAGTGTTTCAGCGAAATAGGAAACTCCATCTCGGTTCGTTTTTCCATCCTTCTTGCTTTAGTCCTCTCTCCAGAGCTCTCTTTTATGCCGCCGACGTCTGCAATAAGAAGTAGAAAGTTTATACTAAGAGCTATGGTGTAGTGTGTTACGAGCGGAGCTGCTTGGACGGATGAACAATGCCGCGAATGGGGCGGTAATCCCGTTGACAATCGCGTTTACAGAGCTGTCTGCAGAACTTACAATGGGGGCGGGTGCCCTGCGTAAACCGTTTCCTTACAGACGTTATGTCCATTGAGAAGCTTGTGCAAGGCAGCTTCTTTTCTTCTAAGACAATAGTTTGTTTACTCTTAGAATGAAAGTTCTCTCAACGCACCTTACACGATTTTGATCACCTCCGGCTCCGTATCGGCAAACCACTTCTCCCATTCTGACCATTGTTCGAGGGCATCCCAGGCCTGCCAAGACTTCCATGTCTTGCGATACCGCGGTCCTGAACAACAGTCCATGGACGTGGCGCCGAGACCCAATCGTTGATAGCGGAGTTCGCCCCCATCAACGATTTGCCCCAAAACCAGAATGCAAGCACCAGTTTCATTCATACGTGTCCCAGTAAATAGCAATAGACGGTAGACTGTTCCACATCGTCTCGTGCCCGGATCATGGTTCTTGTTGTAGGTTGCGCTGTCCACTTGAATATGGTCCAAATTACCCAGGAACGAAGAAGGATCACGTCGGAGATTCACATGTGTTCCGGCTTTTCTCGAGTCCGTGTTGGAAGATATTCTGCAATCCGGAAAAACAACCTGTGCATTGAAGCCCTCCTTACATACGCTGGCACGACCGTGGTCGTCGTAGTACATGACTGCTTCGACCACATGTGCACGTAGCTGGATGGAGCTTCCAGCCTGCACTGCTCCGAACTTATTAGCGACGCTTGGAATGCAGTCTATATCAAGGATATCGACTTTGGATTCCAATACTGGCTCGGGCCCGGGTTCCATAGACTCTGGCAACCAAGAATAGGACCAGACCCTGATGGATCGCATAGCATTCGATGCCCATGACCACGACGGGACTCCATTATCCATTGCGGGCCTAATCTGAGCCCTCATGCTCGGGCCATCGGTGAATTCCTCGCGATACCAGCCGAGATTGAATGGTAGTTCCACCTCCCAAAGTCCAGCCAAGTAGTTGGACTCCAATGCAGTGTGCAAGCGTGAAGCGACACTCGCAATGGCGGGTAACCGGTCGGTACCATATGTGAGATCTCGTGTCGAATATTCCCCGATCCAAGTGTGCCAATTCTTTAGGGTCGCCTTCTGTTCGTCCCGCTGCTTATATGCGGCGTCTTCATACTGGCATTCGCAGGCTACTGTGACCTTACAACGCCACTTGACTTCTAGGTCCGTGAAGCTGAGGATACGCACAGCACAATGACGCTCTTGCCATGCCCACGCTCGCGATTCGAGTGGTCCATCGATCCACGTGGGGGAGAGAAGCACTTCACGTCGTCTAGCTCTGAGACAGCTTATAGGCTCTCTACCGTCCGACGCGTCTGACACTCTAGGTCCAATACCCACGCTGTGGTAGTATGATCTTGTGGAGGGAGCCTCCGTACCCAAGAAGGGGACGGAGCCATTATTAGAGGACACGGCTGCGACAACGAGCAGCGCATTCTCGTATATCTGGTCCATGTGCTCAGCATGCCGTGCCCAGTCATCTTTATCATCCTGGATGATACAAAGACTGTCAATCCACAGATAGGATACGCCCAGCTCTCGCGCTACTATGATTGTGTCCTGAAATGTGGGCGGCAAGGTCGACGGATCAATCATCTTTTTGTGGTCGTGTATATTTTTGGTCGTCGTACACATAAAACGCTCCGAACCCCAACAGTGCGACAAAGCAATCCATGAACCTTGGGGTATCTGATCCCTCGTCTCAACGAGTCGTAAGCTGCCTTGACCGCCGCTGTTCGGCTCCAAACACAACAGTCTTTCGGGAAACCAGGAGAAATTCTGTGTTTCAGCGCACTTGGGGTGTTCTATCAGACATTTTTGTAGTGACGACCGCACAAAGTCCCACATTAGCCCATCGCCAGGAACAAGGGCAATTTCTCTCCGCACAGGGAAGCGCGCACTATCCAGCCCTTCAGCCCGCAGCTCATGGTCTGAAGAGCGAAACATGTCCAGACCCATCTCTAGCGTGGAATTCCCATTTCCTGCGGAGTGAATGAATATGTAGCCTGGACCGTGGTCTTTGGATACGTGGAGTTGAAGTATGACGTTGGCTTTCTGACTGAAACGCATCCAAGACCACTCATAGTTGTCCGCAAAGAATTCTGGTTGCAGGGCCTGAATCGCCTCGACTATTAGTTTGCAGTACGGGCATGAAGAAGCGAGAAGGTTGGCCAGCCAGGCTGCAACAGGGTACTCTGTCCCCTGGCCTGGTTGGAAATCGTTACAAATACAACATTTACCCATTGTTGAAAAATAGCGAAGGTCAATGTTGAAAAGATCACATTACCACGTTGGGAAAGAACGATAGGGTCAGTAAAGCGAGGTAGAAAGAAGTTAGCTAGTGTACTCTATATGCATGTCACCCCACCCTACGTCAACCAAGCATTGGCGCTATTGACCCCACTTAGTTCACACGTTATCATGCACAAAGCCACTGCCAGTACATCGACAGCTTTGCGAACCCTACAACCACTTGCGACACTCTCCCTAGGCAAAACATGGGCGCGAACTCGGATTATAATCATGGCATCGAAAAATCATATTCGACTGATACCAACACCAACACCAACACTGACAGAAACAACGTCGTTTATGACGATACACCACCAATCTACTACGACGCTGAGCCATCAGCCCAGCGACCGAGCTACCCTAATAACCAATCCACTTCGCCTAACGAACTGCAAAAGAGGCCTGCGTCACGACCTAAGCCCACGAGTCAACATAGCACCGGCTCACCCGCAAGTACCATCGCGGCAGTCCTTGGTTCTGAATATACCGATTTAGATGCTTAGCGACGAGCACACCGTAAGAAGAAAACGCTTCGCGAGCGCTAGAACGATTTCAAAGAAAGAAATTTTGGAGACTATGATGTTTCCGAGGACAGGGCTAGAGCGGCGAGTGCAGCCGAGTGGAATGTGCAAGGTGGGAGGCTGAGTGGAGGACTAGCGACGCCGTATCGGAAGAAGGGGAAGTGAAATCGAAAATCAGATCGCGCTTACCCGTGTTGGGTCTAACGTCCTAGATAATATATACTTCTAGAGTGATATTCTAGCGTTTTACTATTGTTAATTACAGAGTTGTATCTAGTATAATTAGTATTAATTTTACATATACTAAATCAAGCGGCTTATTTAATTTACTAAGAAGATAAATAAATAATTAGGATTAGAATAATAATAGAAAAAAAAGTTAATATAAAGTAATATTATATATAAAGAGATATTATACTCTACTTTAATA